TTGATTTTGTAGATTTCATATATGTGTATATGTGTTATAATTACTTTAAGGCTATATGGATAATATTGTCAGCTTACTTTTGGAATTAAGATTATGTAGCTATCTATGTTATAGTAGATTTGATAAATTGCCCTCATAATTATGTAGCGTTAAGTATGATGATATATTACTTAATATGGAATAATTGCATTAATGAGTAGGTCATGAAAGCATTGGACTTTAGGGTATGATTTGTATGGATAACATGAGCTTATATGTGCCTGTGAAGTGCAATTTGTTTATATATCGGTATGTATTTAACATGTGGAATTGGATGAGGATTTTGTAACGACCCTGGTCCGAACCACTATCCGGGTTCTAACCCGAATCGACAGCACCCAAGGGTAAAATGGTCAATTCAAGGTATGAAGATGAATGAGATGACTCTAAGTGAGTCATACAATGTCAACATAAGTCTAAATGGTCATTTGAACCCATGCCACAAGCTTCTAGACACGAGAACTGTGATCTCACACATTTACCCCTCTTCGGGTACAAAGATTTCTAGACCAGTCCATACTAAAATGGTCATAACTATTTCTAAAAATATAATTTTTGGCTAGGATTAGTACCATTGGAAATATGACTTAAAAACCTTGAACTTGAACTCAAATTTTACCCAATTTGGAGTTCAAAGGAACGAGATATGACAATTTGAAGTCAGGTCAAGAAAACTGGTGCGCTACTCACTTCAGCTGGCTGAAACCATGTGTCAATCAGCCAAAAGTAAAGGGTCAGCGGGCTAACAGTGATGGCCAGCTGGTTAAAACAATGTTTCAGCTTGTAAACATTTTACTCGGGCCAAAAATACACTGTCAGCCGGCTGGCTTATGTCACCAACCAACCAAAACCCCTTGGAAAGTGAAAAATTAGTAGTTTACAACTTCACCTGCATCAATTATATGGATCCCAATGATGTCCAAACAATAATCTAAATCAAGGAACATTGTATATAAATGTAGTTATAACATATGTGAGTAAGTGAGGCATACCAAAAGTATACATTTAACATAGGAAGCATACATTGAAATGAAATGACACCTTGGCCCTAAATACATCAATTTGAAATCACTTACATATACATTCCCTAATATTAATACATATATTTGTCTACGAATGAAGAAAGGAACACATTGAGTTTGAAATCCCAAAATATACAATATGGTGCATTTACAACAAAACACATCCATAATGAATCAAGACATGCCATTGAAACCAAAAGTCATCCTAAACAACTCCTTTCCTGAAAAATGTTTATAATAAAGAGGTGAGTACCACTGCTCAGTAAAGTATGCCTAAAGTATGGCTGCTAAAGCCAATTGAGCAAACACGCAAAAGAATAGGGGAAGAGATAAGGGGTCATACTCATGGGGAAATGATAGAGTACCTAACAAATAACATTAACATTAGCACTTCGGTAAATTCACAATTTTCACATATAAGGTCACATCAATCCTATCAATACAATCAATATATATGCTCATGCCGAATGCCATGATCCTCATCTAACCAATTTCCATGAATCTCATCAACTAGTGTGTATGCACCTCAATAACTAATCCAACCCGACCTCACAAACCACATCAAAGACCACCATCTTCAAATGGCACAAGTCCACCACTTGTTCACCATTGGGCCATCAAATTAGCTATCCCTAGCGTGAATCCACCTCTCACCACCATTTGGGGCCTAACTATCACAATCTCAAAAATAAGACTACCACTTGTCTTCCGTTCTCACAACTAAGTTTCCATCTTCGCAACTTCTTTCACATTACCAAACTAACCACCTCTCAAGGCCCACACACATACCACCCAATGCTTATGAAAGGATGCTTCCACATTATGCTCAATTTGCCAACTTAACAATGACAACAATTTAGTTAACATCATGAATTAGGTAAACCATCAACACTTACACTACCATACTACTCAAACATGATTTTACAATAGGAAGTTCCATTATTTAATTCATATAGTCATCACATCAAACATCAAGTATACGTATTATCAATTTTCTTCTGGACTTAGTTTGTGCTCAGGCCCAATAGTCCTATCTTTAATTAGGTGCCTAAATGGCAATGATCTTAGTCCAAAGGGCTTGAGATCTTCTTTAGAAATTAGATTGAGCACACATAACATTTGAAAGCCCAAAATTCCCACATTTAATAGATTTAGAGGATAAAAGCCTGAAAATATAAAAACACGAAAACAACATAAAAGTATAAAATGAATACAACTAGAGAGCTAACATATGCAAATAAAAGAGCTTGAATGTGTAACATTTAGCACTCATTAGCGCAGATATGACAGAAAATGAAAACTAATAACCGGACCGTCTGATTGGATATCGAACTTCACAATCATACTCAAAACATCACAAAACCTTAAGAAACAATTATACTTGACGTGACCTTTTTCTCTAAAAAAATGATATGTTGAAACAAGTTTGGGAGGCCTAGTGCTAACAGGAGGTTTGGTCTCAACTTTCACAAAAACTTCTTTTGATTTTTGAAATGACGAATCCTTTGAAGTTAAAGCCATCTCTTTGTCTTTAACCATTCCTTTCAACATGATCACTACTCAAATTATCAATTTTAAGTTAAATGATTTATTAAACCCTTTCACTTGTTCAAATTCATTTTGTATAAAACCTTTCCAAGAAGATTCATTTTTTCATGGCTAAGTTTTTCCAAATTTTTATTGGTGGCTAAAACTTCTAACTTATAAATATACCTATCAAGTTTTGCAAGCTTCATTTCTCCAACAAATTTTTAAAATTCCTTTTCAACTTAGACCATTTCACAAGCTTACTTGTTATATATTTAGAAATATGAAATGCAACCAAAATATCAACAAAATGATCGAGTGAAAAAATGATACAAAAACCAGAACAAAATTAAATCAACAAGTATGACCTACTCAATGTGTCAGGCAACCTGCTCTAATACCAAGTGTGAGTAGCGCGGTGCGGAATTTGTTATGTTGATTAATTGTGAGTAACTCTTCAAATGACCTAAAGAGGGTGAATATGTCAACTTATCCAATTTTTTTAATTGATTAATTACCCACAATGATTATTAATTAAACATCCACTACAACAAAATTTTAAATAGTAAAGTAAAGAAAATAAAGTAGAGTTTGAGAGATGATACTGGGTTTTTGAGTGCGGAAACCCTTGTTGGAAGAAATCCGACCAACCAGGATGAAAACCATAGAGAATTTCATAGCCTTGAGCGAAGCAATCCATTATTGTTGAAGCTAAGTACAATGAATTCTAACTCAAGCTCACATCCACTCCATTCTATCAAGTACCGGTCGTTGAATGTCTCTCTGGCTTTACGACACCCCCCTCTAAACACACTAGACTTCAGGCTTACTCCTTGAGCATTGTAGAAGGGTTCCTAGTATATCAACAACGCTTCTAGAATGCTTTGACCCATTCTTAGTGAGATTAACACCCATCTATTCCTTCAAATCTGAATTTTGTGAAGGTTAGAAGGGACCCTGCTGAACTGATCAATTTTTCTAATCTGATGTGGACTCGGAAGATTTCGTGTTGATAAGTAGAATAAAATAACCCTAAATCACTCTTATGTTTAAATGTGTGCTTTGAAAGATAAACAATAAGATTTCTTGAAAAATCCGTCAGAAAACTTCAATGATCATATGATAGATGAAAACCTTTTTTTCCCAATTGAAATATATAGAGTCCTCACAATGATTAAAAAGAGATTTTAAAATCATTCAAGGACGTACCTAGGAGTTTTCATGAAATTAGGAAACTTAAAAGTTACCAATTCTGGTTCAGAGATTTGGGTTCAATTTGTTTAGGGATTTTAACACTCAAGCTAAAGCAGCCACACTCATCACTGATGGTGGATGGGTTTTCCCTCCTTTCTTTTCGGAGATTGCTGCAGATTTTGTTGCTAATATTACTTTGAAGGCTGGTAATGATGAGACCAGTTGGGTTCATGGTGAATTCAGTTTAAAGAATGCTTGGAAAGCTTGTAGGGATAGAGGGCAAGTGGTCAGGTGGAATGGTCTGTGTTGGAAACATTGTAGACCTCGGATTGTTTTGGTTTTTGCAATCATCATGCATAATAAGAACTTGTCCTTTGTTAATCTACAGAGGCGGGGATTTCAGGGTCCATCAGTGTGCCACAATTGCTTCAAGGCAGAAGACACCAATAATCACTTATTTTTCACTTCTGAGTATGCTAATCAAGTATGGCAACAGGTTGCTCTTCGGTTCAACATTACTGACAGGAGTTTTCAAGAGCTCCATTTGTTTGTGGAATGGATACTTTGGATGGAGAGGAACTCGGCTTTACATCGTGACATCAAAACCTCATCTGCTGCTGCAGCAAATGACATTGTTTGGGAAGTTTTACACTTCTTTTCTCTTGGCCTTACTGATATTCTCGCCATTTTCAATGTGGTGTAGTTTTCTTTATCAGTTTGTTTTTGATTTGGATTGGTTTCCAATTCATTCTCATTGTAAAGAGGGATATGCCTCTCTATTGTACTTGTAATTTTAATCTCTTTTTTGTTTAATAAAATCCACCCATTCAGGGAAAAAAAAAAAAAAAATGTTACCAATTAAAATATGAATTTTCACTCTCTCTAGAAAACGCAACCGGTTCAATTTTAGAACTCAATCAGTTGGGTTTTTGTTGATTGCAATTTTAATGTAAAAAGTTCAACTAGTTCAGTTGGTAACTCTATCGGTTGGATTTTTACCGAGTGCAGTTTTCGTGCGGAAAGTTCAACCGGTATAGTTTAAAATGCAACCTGTATGTTGGACTTTTTCTCAGTGCTATTTTAATGACTGAATTCATATCCAACTTTAAATATACTCACAAGTGTTCTTCACTCACATACTTATTCTAAATGACGTTCTTAAAGGATTCAATGGTAAAAGGTATTTTCACTTCAGCCGCGAAAGATCGAGAGTCAAGATAAACAAAAATACAACTATATCATCAAGTTTTGATTCCAAAATTTGCTCACATTACAAATTTATATCTCACATTGACTAGGAGCTGGGATTCCCCTCGTAAATTGGAAATCTCTTAATTTTGCTAATATATACTCACAGGATGAAAAAAAAGACATCATAGTTACCATCAAACCAATATGATACTCTGAACATTTTAACATAGCATTCTATTATGATGTTGTGTTAGTAAAGATGAGGAGACAAGCGGGGAGCGACAAAAACTTCCAGTGGGGTAGCTTTCATGTTGGTTAATCCGACACTCTCTGTCATGTCAACCGGTGCATTGTTTGGGGTTGAAAGATCGAATCCATGAAGCAAAGTAGCAAGTATTAAGTGCAATAGCTGAAGGCCCAAAGTTGTGCCGGGACAAATTCTCCTACCGGCACCAAATGGGATCAACTCAAAATGTTGACCCTTGACATCAACATTTTTGTGGGTGGTGAGGAATCTCTCCGGTTGGAACTCCGAAGGGTTTGACCACAGTCGTGGGTCCCGCTGGAGCTTCCATAAGTTCAACATTAGTCGTGTTCCTTTGGGGATTTGATAGCCACCAACAGTGCAATCCTCGGTAAATTCTCTAGGCCCTCCGAGTGGAGCTGCGGGATATAATCTAAGGGTCTCTTTGACTATCGCTTGGAGATAGACCAGTTTACAAATATCTGATTCATCCACCTGTCTTTGCTTGCCAACGTGGACATCTAATTCTTCTTGAGCTTTTTTCAACACATGGAGGTTGTTCATCAGTAGCGAGACTACCCATGTCATCATAACCGTGCTGGTGTCGGCTCCACCTGAAATCAAATTCTGCAAGGCATAAAACCGACATGAATGATTGAATTCCAAGCAAGGGTACAAAATGGTAAAGGTATGTTTGGAAGCATGACAATTTTGGACTAAATCCTCCTCAATTGCAATTTAAAATGTCCTTTTGATATATATATATATATATATATATATATATATATATCTTTTATCAATTTTCGGGCTTCTATCTCTATGTATTTTTGTTGGGTAAGTTAATTTATTTCTCTTTGTTGTGCCAGGTTTTGTGATAAATGTAATTAAGCTTAAACATGAGTCATATGAAGTTAAGGGATATATACGGTAATTCCATCTGAAAACATACGTACCAGGCATGTGGCTTTGTTGATGGCATCGGCATCGTATCCGGCAAGGTCTGCGCCTTCAAGAACAGAAAGCATCACATCCATGAAGTCTTGTTCAACTCTAAACTCACCGGAGTCTCTCTTCCGGCGATGCCCCTCTAACCATTCCCCCACCATTTTGTCGATTTCTTTTGCAGTTTCCTTCATGGCCTTTTCATGTCCACCCAAGTCCAACCATCCTAGAAAAGGAATGGCGTCGGCCACCACAAAGAGCCCCAAAAAGCGAAAGAATTCCCTCAATAGCTTCTGGCATCGTCGTGCCTCTTCACTCCCTGCATTAGCACCAAAGTATCGCTTCCCAGCAACCATTCTAACAACCACGTTTAGGGTCAGGTCCCCAAACCATTGCTTCATGTCCACCGAAACACGACCGGAGCTGTTCTTCTTCTCGGCCCAAAGCTCGTAAAGCTCTTTCATGGAGATCTTCGTTTCAGAGACTCGGACATTCTTGAGCATCTCCAATCGGCGGTTTGAGAGTAGCTCCACGGACACTATCTTGCGCAATTCACGCCAATAGGCACCGTAAGGGGAGAACGCAAGCATGGCATAGTTGTAGCCCAAGTGTTCGGCTGCTAAAAACTTGGGACGGGACGATATGGCTATGTCATTGGTGGTGAAGCATTCCCCAGCAGCCTCCCAATTACTCACCACCAAATCGCGACGCAAACCGATCTTGACGGTGAATATTGGTCCGTACTTATCAGCCATGGCTCCTAAGGTTATGTGAGGAAGTTGAGGACCAGTAGCTAAGAGGTGAAGGTGTCCTATTATGGGCCATGCACCCCCAGCTTCTGGTGCTCTACTGCCTCTAGTAACTCTACTCTTAATTATTCTGTAGAGGTAGTAGCAAACTACAAGTAAAGAAAAAAGCCCAGCTATGGAAGTGTTTATTTGTTGGAGGGAGAAATCCATGGAAGCTTTAGCAGTAGGAGAGTTTGGTAAAACTGTTGTAGCTGTTCTTCTTTGCATGGCATGTAATATTTATACACACAGACACATAGTACAAATTAATTTAGTTCTATGGTGTTATCATTTTTTAAAATTTCCACTTTGACATCTAATAATTAAGCTCAATGCAACATTATCCGTGGTTCTTATCAACCTTACCATCAACATTATCATTAGCAAACAAATGTTGATATAGATGCGTGGATGGTGATGCTGGTCCAGGGACGATTAAGTCAAACTAGGTTGCTGGCTGCAATGGAAGTCATGGGTTTCTTTTATTGGTAATAGGGACTTCGATTTTATCATGATGTTCAAATTCAAAGAATCAAAAGATTAGTCTCGAGAGTGAAAGCGTTTGATGTGGTTAAGTGGAACCTATGTAGGTCCCACAGCCAAAGGTGGACAATTTTACTCTTCATATCAAGTCCCAACTACAGGCAATTTAATCCGTGGAATTCCTTAATTCGATTTGATCCATTCTGATTTGTATCGAGTGGGTTGATTTTTTTGGTCTTTTGGTTCCTAACCCTATTGATAAATAAAGAATCTATAATTTACTGATTAAATTGACATGTTTAAAATTCGATTCGATCTGGTAATCAATTCGATCTCATCTGCTCAAAGTTATATATATATTTCTTATTCATCAATCCATCCCCGAATCGTAAGACTAAAAAAACAACCCGCTTTATACAAATCATATTAGATCAAATCGGATTAAGAGATTCTAGGAATTAAATGTCCCTAGTTGGGACTTGAAATACTAACTGATTTTAGAGAGTATATATATATATATATATATATATATACACGCGCGTGCACACACTCAGTACAAATATATACTATTTCAATTCAAAATTCATTACAGGAAAAACTAGGATTTTCACAAATGGATTTGATTCGGAAAAAGCAGAGCGTTTAAAAGAAAAAAAACAATAATAATAATAATAATTAATTAATTAAAGAAGAAAAATGAACTTTTGTAATTTAAAACTATTAGTTGTACATATAGATAATTGTGTACGCATTTATTAATTCAGAGTTTCAGACTTATAAACTGTTATTTGTCACACAACTATGTGCATACTTGAAGAATTGATTTATCATCTGATTGTTTGAAATATTATATGATATTGGGTTGTTTAAAAAAAAAATTAATTCATAAAATCAATCCAATTTATCCGTCCTTAATTCAATCCTAATCTGTAAAATAATAAATTAAATTAGATTCAATTTTCACCCTTTCATAAAAATCAAATTGAATTAAATCTAACACCTAATTCAATTCGATCCGTGCCAACCATAGTCCTAACACCTAACCCAATCTGAACCAATCCCCTTGTCCCAACTAACAAGTTTATTTGTACTTTTTATTTTATTTATGGGTATAGTATAGGAACATCACCTAAGGTTTGCCAAAAAGACACTTTGATGAAAATTACCTATTTTTGGGACAATGACACTCTTGAAGATTGAAAAGTGGACAAAGGCACCCCATGAAACTAACTAGTATAAAAAATTGACCAAATTACCTGATAAGAGCTGAAAAGTGCGTATTTAAACCCCTTAAACTTAGGTATTCTAGTACCTTTATCTATCTTACTTTACCGTTTTAGATTGATTTCGTATTATTTTCATTTTTAGGCACTTATCCCAAAAATAAGCTAACTCAGCCAAATAAGAGCAGAAATGAAGCAATTCTGGGATGAATCAAAGAAAGGAGCCAAGTGGAAGCAAAAGGTGGAATTCAACATCTTCGATCGATCTCAGATCAAAGTTCAATTGATCCAACATGATCGATCTCAGCACTTCAAGATGGATCTGAACCATAATGACATTTTCAGAGATCTTAAAAGCTCGATCGATCCAACATCATTCTTCGATCGATCGAACTACCTTGTCCTTATCTAAATGATTGATTTTATCTAATTGTACCACCCTACAAACCACTTTTGTCCTTTTCCTAAAAATATCTTCGAAATATCTCAGATTTGTTTTTATCCAAAAAGGCGCCGCCATTGAGGATCGATCTAACTTCAGTTCGATAATTCTCAGCCATGTTCGATCGATCCAAGACCAAGGTTTGATCGATCGAACTTTCTCCAGTGCGAAAAAGTTAAATTTCCAGCTCATTGAAAGCTGTCCTTATCCAATCATTGGGGAATATTTTGTGCACGACCCCAACTCATTTTGTGTGTCACTTGACCTATCTATATAAAGAATATGATACACTTTTTGAGGAGGAGATACTTAGCATTCTTAGGATTCATCTATCACAATAGAGGCTATTCTCAGGGAGGAAGAAAGGAGGAGAAGGCTAGAGACACAAGCTTGAGAGCTCTTCATCAACCAAGGAGTAGATTTCTTCCATGGAGTTTGCCCTTGAGGGTTGGAGAAGCATTACCATGAGTGGCTAGACATCCTCTTGGGGCTAGAGTTAGCCCCAAACATGCTTTTTCCATCTTGATTTTGTGTATTATTGAGGGATTAGTGTTGTAATACATGTTTTGGCACTTATATATATATAGATCTTGTTTATTCAATGATTTATATGGTGACTGGCTATGTCGCACTACCATCAAGTTTGAGAGTGTGATTTTTAGGCGAGGGCCAAGAGTTTTACATTTATAAAAGCCACTACTATGTTTCACTATAAATACAGCTAGGGCGAGTAGGGATCGTCCCAAAGGATTGTGAGGGTCGAACAAGGTTGTGGAATCACTATTAGGGCTAGTTGGTCGAGTGATCAAACAATTGGTTGGTTGGTTGATTAGACTAGAGAGCAACTAAATTAAACTAAGTGATAACAAAAGAATGCAACTAAGAGTAAATAAAAGAGAGAAGAGTCTTGGGGTTTAGAGATCACCACCAAGCAATGCATTTCTATACCATTGACAAGTGACTAATGAGGGAAATATGTGTTACAATGATGGTGTGTGTGTGTGTGTGTGTGTATAAAGTTGTTTCAATTAGCAAGGATGACCAATTAAGCATGTATTGTCTAAATATCATGCGAAAGGCACAATATATCTCAGTAATGAAGCATATATTGTCTAAACAACATGTGAAAGGCACAATAAATAAAAACAAGTCATTAATTCTTTCATTAAGCTTACAATCCAAATACAACACAAGGTTAGAGACATATGCTACTTGCATTCAAAAGTATGGATCATCAAACAACAAGCATGGATTGTCCTCCCCTTTAACACTACACTACAACTACACTACATCTACACTACTAGCATGAAAATAAACTAAGGGAGAGGCACAATCGATCAAGGAATAAGTGTGAACCATCAAGAAAATCACAAGAGCATTCCATTAAGTACTATGTTTTGACAATCTCTAAATCTAAAGTATCAATACACATAGACAAGCATCAATAAAACAAGAAATAGAAACAAACACATGAACATCTATTCTAGCATACATAGACATATGGATAGAATGAAATGATCAATTGGAAGCATTAAACCACATAAATCATTGAACAATCAAGATCTATATATATCAAAGTGTCAAAACATTAATTACAACACTAATCCCTTAATAATAAAGAAAAAAGCCCAGCTATGGAAGTGTTTATTTGTTGGAGGGAGAAATCCATGGAAGCTTTAGCAGTAGGAGAGTTTGGTAAAACTGTTGTAGCTGTTCTTCTTTGCATGGCATGTAATATTTATACACACAGACACATAGTACAAATTAATTTAGTTCTATGGTGTTATCATTTTTTAAAATTTCCACTTTGACATCTAATAATTAAGCTCAATGCAACATTATCCGTGGTTCTTATCAACCTTACCATCAACATTATCATTAGCAAACAAATGTTGATATAGATGCGTGGATGGTGATGCTGGTCCAGGGACGATTAAGTCAAACTAGGTTGCTGGCTGCAATGGAAGTCATGGGTTTCTTTTATTGGTAATAGGGACTTCGATTTTATCATGATGTTCAAATTCAAAGAATCAAAAGATTAGTCTCGAGAGTGAAAGCGTTTGATGTGGTTAAGTGGAACCTATGTAGGTCCCACAGCCAAAGGTGGACAATTTTACTCTTCATATCAAGTCCCAACTACAGGCAATTTAATCCGTGGAATTCCTTAATTCGATTTGATCCATTCTGATTTGTATCGAGTGGGTTGATTTTTTTGGTCTTTTGGTTCCTAACCCTATTGATAAATAAAGAATCTATAATTTACTGATTAAATTGACATGTTTAAAATTCGATTCGATCTGGTAATCAATTCGATCTCATCTGCTCAAAGTTATATATATATTTCTTATTCATCAATCCATCCCCGAATCGTAAGACTAAAAAAACAACCCGCTTTATACAAATCATATTAGATCAAATCGGATTAAGAGATTCTAGGAATTAAATGTCCCTAGTTGGGACTTGAAATACTAACTGATTTTAGAGAGTATATATATATATATATATATATATATACACGCGCGTGCACACACTCAGTACAAATATATACTATTTCAATTCAAAATTCATTACAGGAAAAACTAGGATTTTCACAAATGGATTTGATTCGGAAAAAGCAGAGCGTTTAAAAGAAAAAAAACAATAATAATAATAATAATTAATTAATTAAAGAAGAAAAATGAACTTTTGTAATTTAAAACTATTAGTTGTACATATAGATAATTGTGTACGCATTTATTAATTCAGAGTTTCAGACTTATAAACTGTTATTTGTCACACAACTATGTGCATACTTGAAGAATTGATTTATCATCTGATTGTTTGAAATATTATATGATATTGGGTTGTTTAAAAAAAAAATTAATTCATAAAATCAATCCAATTTATCCGTCCTTAATTCAATCCTAATCTGTAAAATAATAAATTAAATTAGATTCAATTTTCACCCTTTCATAAAAATCAAATTGAATTAAATCTAACACCTAATTCAATTCGATCCGTGCCAACCATAGTCCTAACACCTAACCCAATCTGAACCAATCCCCTTGTCCCAACTAACAAGTTTATTTGTACTTTTTATTTTATTTATGGGTATAGTATAGGAACATCAC